GAGAAAGACCACCCTTATAAGGAAAAAGAAATACATAGATCAGCTTTGGGTAGAAAAAGAGCTGGTAGCAGCTTCCCTGGTTGCCTCTGGGAAGAAACAAGGGAACAGACATGGGAAGAAAGACATTTTACACAAGTTTTACTCTTCAGAATTTTTGAAGGTTGAGCTATGAGTATTACCTTTATGCCCCCAAAGAAATAAATTTCAAAGAAAAACATGTTGTTCCTGAATGAAAATCAGCAAAGCTGAAACAATAATAAATAAATAACACAGAGAACCAATCGACCAACACATATTTCTTTTTTAACAGTCCCCTAAGAGTTCTGCATGGATAATGGCTGAGAAAGACTCTGAGTAACATGTAAGAGGCATTGCCAATATCAAGGAAGGATGCATGACTTGGGGACAGGGAGAAATAACTAATGCTATATGGCAGCAATTCCAAGTGTCACGGAGCTGTCCAAGCAACAAGGGTTATGAAAAGTTAGAAAGGGGAGATGTGGGAAAGTTAGGGCAGAAGGAAGTCTTCAAGACTTTGACCTTGAAGTTCAGAAAGAATAGGTAAAGGCAGTGCCAGTTTAAAGAGATCTACATGATCTAATAACCAAAGCAATACCTTTTATTTTTATAATCATCTAGAATGTACTGAGTATGTTAAAAGTCTTGGAAGGCTAATAAAATCCTCCTGAAATAAGCACTAACATTTCACAGATGTGCAAACTAAAGACTAGAGATATGAGATGTTCCCATGTCTACATTTCATAAGCGAAAAAGAATGGGCCCTAGTGGTTCTCACTTTTAGAGATTTCCTCATTCCACTCCATCTGCATAGACAAAGTGTCAGATGCCAATACAGTAAGGACATATCAGCCTTTACACCCAATCCTGTCAAAAGTAGCTCTATTACCAGTGAGAAAAAGTTTCCAGCAGAAAACATAAAATGACCAAATATTCTGTTGGGCTCTAGATGCACCAGCAAGGAGACAGGATAGAAGACAGCATCTACTGAACCACTACCAAGCACCACCACTGTGCCAAGTAACTTTGGGGAATTTGCTTATTTATCCTCATCATAACCTTGTGGTGTCAATATATTCAATCCTGACTTTGCATGAAAGAAACCTAAGGACCGTGGAGATAAATAAGATGCACACATCACAAAGCTGTTATGTAAATGAGCAGGGACATAAATCCAGACTTGTCTGCTTCAACATCCAGTGCTCTTTCCTCATTAGTAGGTGCCAGGTGTCACTAATGTCACCAGTGCATTACCTGTGCATTTTCTAAATATTAATGGACTATTTTGGGGGAGGATGGGGGGGTTGACCTAGAATGATAAGAATGTTTATGGTAGTGGTTTTTCATATATTGTTTTCTATTTCCTCTTTTGATCTTTTCAGCCATTTTGTTGCTTACAGAAATAAGGCTAATATGTTCTTTTGCTCATTAATCATAATCTATTTTGTCCTCAGAGACTTGCAGAAGTATAAACATCAGATCTGAGAGGATATTGAGATATAGACCATCTTACTCAACCAGTCTTTTGACACATGAGGAAACCAAGACCTAGAGAAATAGACAGACTTCTTTGGGGTCCCCTAGCCAATTACAGATGTAAGACCGACACTTATGTTCCCTACTCCTCAACTCAACAAGAGGTATCACTTCTAGCAGAGTGTGGCAGAAAATCAAATTAAACACTAAAACATAAAGACTCCCTCAGAATAAGCTCTTTCCTTTTCCAGAAAGGGAGAGGATGGAAGAAGCAGTATTTAAGCAGAAGCCGCATCAACAATTGAGATTTACAGATCACAACAGACAAAAATCAGTCTTCATTCACCACCTAAAACTGAATTGGCTATCTCAAAGGGACACATATAAACACACACAGGCCCATCCATGAAAACAAACTCTGAAAAAAATCAATTCCATTTTATGCATTTGGATCTCGGGAAACACATTGCTCCACTGTTGTGACAACTCTTATTTTGATTTGGTTTTAAGATTTTTAGAAGTACCCATCAGCCAGACTGAGACGTGAGATCACATGTCCTTCCAGCTAGCAGGAAGCCCAGACTTCATTTAACTCATTCCTTTGTCTTGAAGATAAACTAGGACTCAGAACAGAACCAACATTCTCAGGTTAACCAATTTCTGTTGCTATCAAGGATAAAAATCATGTCAGCAAATTCCTGAACAATGAAAGAGTGTGGACTTTGGAGGCAAGAAACCTATTTAGAGCCCTGGCCCCACCAATCCTGTCCGCATGGCTGCAGCAGACACATGGTCGACAGATGTATACTTCCTGCTAATCCCCATCTCCCTTCTGTACTCTCTCTGTGGAGCCAGAGAAAGCCAAACACTCACTTTCCCAGACTCCTTTGCAGCTAGGGTAATCATGTGACATAGCACTGGCCAATGAGCCCTAAGTAGGGGCCAGCCAGAGACTTCCATGATAAAAGGGACACAGCTAGTTAGTGCTACCCCCATGTTCTTGTTTCTTCACTGAAAGTCAGACTTGCTGCCTGAAGCCAGCACTGTGGGTTACAGTCACGCTGTGGGCATGAGTATACAGGCATGAATAGGAAAGGCCTCCAATGTCAAGGGACAGAACAGAGGACACAAAGATCCTGGGCTCTTAATGGCAAAACTGAGGTAGAATCAGTATCAAAAGTACCACCAGGATTTTTATTTGAGGAAAAATAGACCTCCATTTGTTTAAACCAACATTCATTTTTTTATTAGTTGCAGCCAAAAATAACTGATATAGCTCACCTTGCATGACTTAGACCTGCTGAGCCTCAGTTGCTATATCTGCAAAATGAAGCCAATACATACAGAATGTTAGACATGGTTCCAGGAGCTGGGGATATAGTAGCAAATCAGAAGTGCATTTGACTGTGGAACAGACCTTTTAATCTTGAAAGGCAGACAATAAATAAATATGAAAAGTGTCAGATATGGTGAAGTTCAAAGGAAAAAGTCATGTGAAGGACTTGGCACAGAGGATGCCTCAATAAATAGCAGCTGCTATAGTTACGTCTCAGCATTCAGTAAATGCTGCTCAAGTGCACGTGATTCTCCCACACTCACATATATAATTTATTAGAAATACAAAGGGTCCCAGGCCATCCTAGACATCACAAGGAACCCTTGCCTTCTGATCCACTGACTAGATATTTCTCCTTAAGCCAAGAATATTCTTTTGGACGTTGTAAAAGCTCCAAAGTTCTCATCCCTTTAGATCTTTCCAATCTACCAGGACTTGTTCTAAATAATCAACTCTGAAGGGTTAACATGGCTGGAAAAGATGAAGGAAGATAGAGAGGAATGGGGATTTGCTATAGATGGCTACCCTCCCTATTCTAGCCAGAGACTAGGCTGGACTTGCAGGGAACATGCAAATGTATGTTCATGGCCAGTTTTCTTAGGAGACTGCCAGGGGGACCTTAGGATTAGAAAACAGAGTCCAAAAACACAGAGTCCAACCTTTGTTTTCTCAAATGCTATTTCAATAAAAAACTGATTTCATGGGAGGGAATTACAAGGCAATGCTATAGAGGAGTAGGCTTTGAAGTGTCTTGGAAATAGGATAAATCCAGCCTCTGGTCTCTAATCCTGGATCCAATTATGATTTTCTGTGTGACCCTGAGTAATCCCTTCCCTTCTCTGGGCCCGCTTTTTTCTATCAGTACAATCATGGAGCCAGGCGATACCGCATCTGGACCCTCTCTGTTCTGACATCCTGTTGTGTTTTTCTCAAATCATCTGCTCTGGTGAGATCCCCTCCTCCCAGAGGCAGTGGAACCAGGGTGCCTCTCTCAGAATATTTGCTAACACCCAGCCTCCAGGGAAAAAGATGCTGACACCCTGGCTGCCTTCGTGGTGTGTTGTTAAACACCTACTTATAGCGCTAATCGGCTGGTTTTCACGCCCAGGAGATGGGAATTGATTGCTGACACTGACCTGGCAAGGAGAGGATCCCACAATCACCAGCCAAAGCAACCCAGGCATGCAGGCTGGGAATTTGGCAAAGGGTACTGTGGATGGGGAAGGGACTGGGAAGAAGAAAGAGAATGGAAGGTGGTTGTCTGTAATGGCTGGGAGCATGGCTGGAGAAGTCAGGCAGACCTGGGTCTTGGTCCGTTCCCGGCCGCTTTCTAGCCATGCAAACTTGGGCATGTCCCTTCACGTCTCAGAATGTGTTACTCAACAGCAGCTGATCCTGCCACATGGTCCCAGGGCATGCATCTTGATGGGTCCAAATGGTCTGGCAGTCCTTTCTGCTTACCACAGGTTGCTCAAGAATTGTCATGGGATCCAGTCTTGCCTACTGAGACTGGAACTCTTTCTGGGTAACTCCTTGAAAAAGTGTTTTTGTGATTAATAGATGAATAAGTTACATATGGGCCTCTTGGTCATTAAGGTCATACGCTAATTTAAAGCAACCTGTAATCACAAAGGAAGTTCCCATGGACAAAGTAAAGGAATAGAGAACTGACATCTGTGATGATGTCACTAAGCCACCAAATCCTTCAACACTGGGGCTGCTCTATTCCCAGGTTATTGCTTTTTTCTTGTTTCTCTTATATTCTTTTTTAAATTTTTTTATTTATTCTTGAGGTTGTACATGATGTGGAGTTACACTGGTCATGCATTCATATATGAATACAGGAAAGTTATGTTGGATTCATTCTACTGTCTTTCTCATTCCCATTCTCCCTCCCCTCCTCTTATCAAATCCAGTGAAATTCCATTCCTCCATTCCCCCTCTTATCTATTATAAGTCAGTATCCACATATCAGAGAGAATATTTGGCCTTTGGTTCTTTGGGATTGGCTTATTTCACTTAGCATGATAGCCTCCAGTTCCATCCATTTACCAGCAAATGCCATAATTTCATTTTTTTACAGCTGAGTAATATTCCATTGTGTATGTGGACCATATTTTCTTTATCCATTCATCCATTGAAGGGTACCTAGGTTGGTTCCATAGCAAAAAAAAATATGGAACACTTCATGAATTTGCATGTCATTCTTGTACAGGGACCATGTTAATATTCCCTGTATTGTTCCAATTTTAGTATTTGTGCTGCCGAAACAAGTGCTAGATTATTGCTCTTGATAGGTGAAGAAATAAATCCCTATTACTTAAAACGAGTCAGGTTTCCATTCTCAGCAGCCCAAAGCTTCCTAACTGAGAGTAGTGGTCATAAATGTTGGTTGTCATTGATGAAATTCCACTGTCCAGAGTGGTATCAAAAGCAAAAGCTCAGAGGTGGAGGGACTGAGCTCAAATTCTAATAACTTCTCCCACCCTCCACCCCTCATCTCCGTTTCCTTAGGATCAAAATACAGATCTACCTCTGAAAATGCCTTGCAGTCATAAGGATCTACATAAATAAATTTGGAGGAATACTTTTGCCATCTACTCTGGCATACAGAGAAAGCTAAGAGTCAACAGAAAAGACTCCTCATCCTGGCTCTGTCACTGCTTTGCTTTGTGACATGAGATGTGTCCCTTCCCCTCTGAACCTTAGTTTCACTCTGAGTAAATCAGAGTCTTGGATTGGTTTAAATCTAAGGTCATTCTTCAAATTGATATTCAATAAAACAAAATGATGCCATCTTTTTCATTCATAAACATACACACACACACACACACACACACACACACACACATACACACAAAGCGTTGGCAGAAGACACAATAAATTTTGCAAAAAGCCACTTTAACCTCCTGTGAGTGCTGGGCTAGGTTTAGTGTTGGTGTCCTGTAGCCAGATGTCACACACACAGAAGGCCCCTCCCTGGGGCAGGACCCCCTTCACCCTCCTTTCAGCACTAGGGTAACTCACTGTACCTCGTCTTCACATCTGTCTCTGCTGGGCAATATCCCCAGCATCCCATGATCATGGCCCACAAGATCCTCATTTTGCCTCATACGGAAATAGTTAAAATACAAAGACGGGAAAAGTAAGCACTCTCAAAATGAAATTATTTTGGCTCGCTACAGGAATTGTTGAAGAAAACAGACTAAAACTCCCATCCAAAGTAACCCGACAGGGTTTCCAAAATCTGCACTGCAGACACAACAGCAGATGGGGTAGGAACAGACGCTGGTTCACCCACCTTCCAAATGGACAACGTGCCTCGTGCCATTGCCTGGAGAATACAGAAAACCTTCCCATCTGTGTAGTGCGTGGTCCTGTTTAAAGGCTTCTGTGCGATCCCTCCAACAGCACGGCAAGGAGAGAAGGCAAAGGGAGGTGGGGTGGCAACATGGAACAGAGAGGAGAGCTAAGCTTTGCCATAAATGACACCTAAGGACAAAATCTGCCTCTGCCCCATTCTCTCTCGTGTGTGTGTGCATGTATGTGCACGTGTGAGTGCAAACACCGGCTACATTCCTCCTATGCACCAAGAGCTAGTCTAGCCTTTAACATCACTCTCCAACATACCTAGTCTCCTACCCAATGAATCTCAGAACCTCAAACGTGTGCTCAGGTGATGCAGAAGAGCCATCCCCAGGTCAAAAGGATGAATTATGTTGGTCTAAGCTAGCCACTGCGATCTCTCCATTCCTGTTTGAATATTATGGACCTAGCAGTGAGCACAGATTTCAGAGGGGTTTCAATGATCATGCAAGCAGCTAAAATTCATTACAATTGGATTAGCAGAAGGAAAAGATGGGTGAAATCTAGAGAAAAAGCCATGTGCTAACTTCTTTATACTATCTTTATCTAGAGGGGACACATGAGAAAAAAAAAATCATTGCCATATGTACTCTGTTTCTGCCTAGGAAAGCCCATTTAGAACTCAAAATTCGAGGTTTTACTGTGGGATGTGGAGAGTTGATCATATCAGCATTCTATAGCTAGAGCATAACAGAACTCCAGACTTTTAGAAGGAAAGCAGGTATTCAGCACAAGTCAGACTATACAAACCGTTTAGGAGTTTGACCCTTGCCTTCATTTTTTTTTTTTTTAATGTGGTGCTGAGGATGGAACCCAGTCCAGTGACATGCTAGGCAAATGGTCTACCACCGAGCTACTACTGCAGCCCCAACCCTTGCCCTTTTAGGAAATGAATCAAATACCAAGTTATTGGATGCTGGACAAGTGCCAAGCTTGCAATCAGACTTTTCCAAAGGTAGCATTCCTAAGCCCTCTCTGTCCCCTCTTTTCTGCATAACACAAATCAGTTTTGATCAGAAAGATATAAAGTAAAGTCCTTTAGACTTTCTTTCTGGAACAGATCTGCATGAGAGGAGAAAAACATCTCTTTCCTCCTTCTACTTTTTGCTTGTTGGGATGTTGAGTGAAAATGTAATGCCTGGAGCTGAGGCATCAATTTTGCAACAAGGAAGAGACAAGCCTGGGGATGAAAATATAATGTATGGCCAAAAAAGAATGGGTTCTTCCATGTTTCGCTGAGTAGATAAATTAACATCAATAGTCATTCATTTCCACCCTTTATGTCTTGTGAGAAATACAAGACCCCATAGGTTTAAGCCACTGTAAGTAAAATCCTATTACTTATAGCCAACTCACTCCTAAATGATACAACTATCAAGCAAAATTAGTCACAGGCTCTTTTTTAAAAAAATATGTTCTAATTAGTTATAATGACAATAGAATGCACTTTGGTACATCATATAAATGGAGTATAATTTCTCATTCTTCTGGTGGTACTTGAAGTAGAATCACACTGATTAGGCAGTCATATATGTACATAGGGAGAAATACAAATCAAAACTATAACAATTATGGAGAGCAGTATGGAGATTTCTTAGAAAACTTGGAATGGAACCACCGTTTGACCCAGTTATCCCTCTCCTCAGTTTATACCCAAAGGACTTAAAATCAGCATATTAACAGTGATGCAACCACATCAATGTTTATAGCAGCTCAACTCACAATAGCTAAACTATGGAACCAACCTAGGTGCCCTTCAGCAGATAAATGGATAAAGAAAATGTGGTACATAAATACAATGGAATATTATTCTACCTTAAAGAAGAATGAAATTATGGATGGAGCTGGAGAATATCATGCTAAGTGAAAAGAGCCAATCCTAAAAAACCAAAGGCCAAATGTTTTCTCATAAACTTTTTTCATGAAACTAACAAAGTGGTGGGGTGAAAGATAACCAAAATTTATGTTATTGTGTATGTAACTTTAAACTGTAAAAGTGCTCTGAAGAGAATGAATTCAGTTCTGCATGAATATCCAAAAAGGAACCTGAGTTGGTTAAAGGGGGAGGAGCAACCATGGAAAATTTTGTCAACATTTCTATTTCCATATTATAAATTGCTCCAAAATTTAACAATCTAAAATAACCATTTTATTTGGTAATGATTTTATGAATTAGGTATTCTGCAAAGGCTCAGCTGAGAATTCCCTCTGAGGGGGTTTCATTGGCGGTCCATTGAGCCCTGGTGGATCTGGCTGTTCAAGATGGCTCACTGGCAAGGCTATGCACTCATGCAGGCTGTCATGGTCCTGCAGCCTGAGGTCCAGAGAGCTGCCGTTCCCATGTAATAGCTTAGGGCTGTGAGCACAACTGTCCCAATGACCAAGGTGGAGACTGCACGGTGCCTTATAACCCAGCCTCAGCAGTTACACAGCTTCACTTCCAATATGCTCTTGGTCAAAAAATCATAAACACGTCCAGATTCTGACTAGGAAGACTATCAAAGAAATGATGGGCCTGTGTTTAAACTTCCATATGCTTCCCTTAAGGGAAACCTTGATTGAACAGGCAGGACATGTTTGCCAAGCAGAGGAAGAAAGGCATATGACATCCACAGAGAACAGCTTACTCAAAGGTGGATCCAGGGTGGAAGACAACCAGGCACTTTGGAGAATAAAAAGGAGGCCGGTGCGGGTGTGGCTGGTCCTGAGAACGAGGGTGGGGGATGCAGCAGAGGGGCAGGGCTTGAAGGCCATTCATGCTGGGCCTTACTTGGGATTTGCTGTCCGGAGATTTGCATCTGTGTCCTAAGAGACTGTATTTAATGCCTGTGTGACCTTGAATAAGTCCACCTGAGTGTCACTTTCCTTATCTGTTAAATGGGGATGATGTGGATCATATCTACCTTAAATCTGTCATAAGGCTTCGTGACATCATAGCTATCTAGTAAGTGCTCATAAAGAGCCATTGTGGCTATTGATGGTTGTTTTTAATCAGATAACTAGGTAGGGAATTCATTTTGCAGGTAGGGCATTAAACCTAGAGTTTAAGTGGAACCAGAGAATCCAACACAAGCAGTTGAGCAGAGATGGAAGCCCCAGCCTTTCAGGCTCTTGTCAAGAGCTCCCCCAGAACCACAGAGAACTGGGGGTATGCACAGGCTGGTGAGGGTGGAGGACTCCACAGCTGGGCCATGTGGCCACAAGTTCTCACCTTCTGTACATCTAGATGACACCTGTTAGAAGCAGCTACGAATTTTAAGAAACCCTTTAAAGACTGATAGCCATCTCGATGCAAACTCTATACATGGAGTCTGATCCGTACATAAGTGACACAGGAAGTGTGCCCTAATAAAGGGCAAGCCTCTGGGTTGACAAAAAATAATCCTGGTTCGACAGGTACTGGCTTGGTACCTTTGAGCAAATCAATAAACTTCAACAATACTGTTATCTTTTATCTAAAATGGGAATGACATCTACATTATTGGGTTCTTATGAGTGTAATTGAGAAAATGTATATGAGCTGCCTGTTAAAAGCACCCAGTGAATACCTCCCTTCCCACTCAAGGTCTAACCTCTCACATCTTGAAATAAGATTCACTTGGCCAGATTTTACCGTTACTGAGGACAAAACAAAGGTGAATCAGACACTGACGATTCTCCATGCTGGTCTGCAAGTCCACTGAGCTGGCTCCAGATTCAGCATCTCTCTAAGACTGTCCCCTCTGCCCAGAACCTCTTCCCCTTAAGTCATATACAGATTGCTCCTTGCTTCACTCAGGTCTCTACTTCAGAAAAGAGCTAGAGTCTTACAGTACATGGAATTTGGCAATGTAGATGTTAAAATAAGTAGGCAGATACGTAGAGCAGAGGGGTGAGGAAGGAAAAACAGGGCTCACCCCATCCTGAATGAT